TCATGTTCCAATCCCCAATATTTGGCCCGTCCATTTCTCTTGGAAGATCACATTTGGGATACAAAAGAAATAACACATTTTAGCAAAGAATAATGACCCTAATGAATAAAGGTTCACAGAAAAAAGAGCATACAAAATATAGAATAAAGTCATATAATTGATACTCTCATTGTACCCTTACCAACTATAAGTTGTGTTATACCATCAACAGGCTGGGTGTTTTCTGGTACTGCTAGGGGAGTAAAAAAACTCTCTAGCAGCACTTGTCACATGTTGAAAAGCACCAAAATCTACTATTCATTCTGATGTTCCTGTGATGGACATAGAGGTAAGAGCATGTATATCAAAAGTACCTTTGTCGGAGTGAGCATAAATGACAATGTTATCCTATAATTACGACTGGCTGGAAGCATCTTCAGACATATCTCCTGCTGCTTTGCTTCCTCTTTAACAACTCCAGGAGCTGGTGATCCTCATAGGTAAAAATCACACTTATCCCTCTGCAACCATCACATTTGCCCGACAACCCCCTTTTCTGCCTTTTTGACCACCACGAACTCCACCTCGCCCATGTTCACTAGTCTCTCTCCTTAAGTAGCTTAGGGCAGGCCTTGCTCAAATACGCGACTTCACCACAGTTGTAGCACTTCCGAGTCTCTTCTTGGACACCTATCATATCTAAAGATTGAGGCATTCAACACTGATCGCGCACCCAAAAGTCTACTCGGCTCAGAGTATAGCTTCATTAGGCTCTCTTCTTGTATCAATTACAGCAATGACCTCATTCAGTGAAGTGATGGTCGCCTGAGCTAGGAGGACTGATCTCCTTTGATCAAAGGTCAGGTTCAGATGGGCCAAAAGTTGTATAGTCCTCATATTTGTAATGATCTCCCCTTCTTGCACTCCAGATCGCCACAGCTCGACATCGACGAGAAGTGATCAAGATCTACCCACAACCACTCCAGATCTATGACGTATTCCTGAATTGATCTATCACCATATACATTGATTCTATCTCACACTGAATCTGAAATACCCTCATGTGGTTCTCATCCTAGCATAAATTTTCGTCAACTTTGCTCAAATGTCCCTCACTATTTGAATGTCATCTACTGAAAATGCAATTGACAAAACCATCAAGATGATTAGCCAGGTGTAGATTAAGGTGTGTGTGGTCCTCCACTTATCACCCCGAACACTTTCACTCTTTGGCTCATCCTTAGTCAGATATCCCTCTAGTCTCTTCCTGACTAGAGTCGCCTCAATCTGACGTGACCAACTCAGTATGTGGCCGGCCTATCCAGTTTTAAATCCACATGGGGGAGATCTAGCTTCACCTGCATCGAAGCATGCGCTGAGATGGTGGCTTCCGTCGAGACACTGGCTCCCTGCATGAACCCCATCAAGACCTTCAAAACTTCAGGATCTACCTTCCCTAGAAGCCTCAATCATTTTCCTTTCGCAATATCTTTATCTCCTGACATCCTCAATCAGTAGGATCCGCCGACGCTCCGGTCTTTCTAGTCTTCTGCTCCGTCCTCCCTGCTAGAACAGGTAAGCCCCTGGAGACTCGCAACCCTGTTCGAAACTACAATGACCGAAGCTCTGTCCTCCCTGGTAATCCATTGTCCTCCCTACTTCCACTATTAAGCCACTGGGAAGCAATGACGGGATCGCAGCGCACACGGACAACCAAAACTCATTGAAGTGAGCGAGGGAAGCGAAGACGGGATCGTAGTGCACACGAACAGATAAAGCTCACCTAGTGACGAAAGCAAAGACAGGATCACACCGCACAAGAACAGTCGATGCTCCCACCTTTCTCGTCTTCCACCCCATGAGCGAAGCTCCTGTCGCTTGATCCAGAGATTCTTCACTGTTCGCGTGACCCAACTGCCAATTAGGTTTGGCTCAATTACCAAATTGAATTTTTTCTAAACAACAGCTAAACTCTACACTCATAAGATGGGCTTGAATAGGGTATTATAACAACTTTTTACAAATAAACCCCTAGACTTTTTCAATATTCATTTTTTACCAATATGACTTTAAATAAAGTCTAATTCTCAACAATCATATATCTTGAGTTAGCAATGTGTTCAATATAACTAGTGATAGTAACATTAAATGCATTTGGTCCAAAAGAAATAAAATATTACCATAGTATAAGAACACGATTACTTGCATTGATAACGATTTATTTGTTCTTGGATTTGCCTTAACCACGACTCTTCTAAAAATTGATATCTTTAACAAAAGTGATATTCATTATACTAGAATTTAACTTATCCATATTATTTTAATAAATTATCAACTTTACGTTAATTAAGTATTAATTTCCATTGTTTTACTTTATGAAATCTTGATTAACTTTATTTTGCTATTAGAAGTCATTAAATAAATTATAATATAAATCCAAACTTTTCTGACCAAAGTTTGCTCGGGTTGATATTCTTCCTCTAGCTCACATACTTCGCCTCCTATTTCCCTCCAATCTGAAATTCTAACCAAGAGCCCTAATTTAATAAAATATTTTATTATCATTACAACATATATATAATTTTCTTATTAAATCAATTAAATAAAGTTTATTAAAACTTAACTTTCTTATGTCAAGCCCTAGTCCAGGCAAATAAAAGTTTCTTCTTCCCCTTTGCACGTGATTCCACCTCCTTCCTACACGCATGAGGGCTCCTTCCCTAGCCTTCCTTCGATCAGTCGCACGATGCTGACGTCAGATTCTATACTTGACACCCACACCGCCTCATCTCTGCTTCACAGAGGTGTCATCGTCCGTCGACATCATTGCCTCCATCTATGAGGAAGCGCTAACTTGCGCCTGTCAATCCTGCTGCTTTCATACACACCAATGACTCTTCAGGTACATCAACCTCACCTCTGCCTCCCTCCTACGCATCATTTTATATAATGAACTTGCCTCCTTAAATTTCAGACCCCTCGCTTCATCTCCTCTTCGGCTCCCGAGTACCAGAAACAAAGCGTGACACAAATCACTTAATATACTATATTTTACAGTTGCATAAGGCCTTCAAATACCCTATAAAAAAATTTTGCTTTCAAAATGCAAATTCTCAATACCGTGTAAGCGTGACACAAATCACTTAATATACTATATTTTATAGTTGCATAAGGCCTTCAAATACCCTATAAAAAATTTTTGCTTTCAAAATGCAAATTCTCAATACCGTGTCTCTACGGGATAATCATACATAATAAATTCTAACATATAAACTAGGTCCTCTACATATGAATATAGACTTAGCAAAGTCAATGACGCAATAAATATCCAAGTAAACTCAAGCCATACATAAATCTTGGATCCAATCCCACAAAAGAGCAATAAATATCCAAGTAAACTCAAGCCATACATAAATCTTGGATCCAATCCCACAAAAGAACAGAGTAGTCAAGATCCAACTTCCAAGACAATGGAATAAACTTATTCAAATACCACAAAAATGACCGTGTTGAGCGCAAACTCACCCAAAGATAACCCAATTTTTAAAGTGCCCTCAAATCCCAATGCAAATCATTTAGAGAAGAATTTAGGGCAAATTCATATAGGAAAGTACAAATATAAAAAGTTATATAAGTCATTAAAGCAAAAGTCAAATATTGACTCATCATCCATAATAAACTTGTCAATGCTAACAAATTTAAGATGATCTAAACTCACAAAGAACCAAATTTATACCAAATATACATTTATGATCACTCTAAAAAATCTCACACAAAAAAAAAACATAACAAATGTCCTTAGAACTAGTATTTTTATTGATAAATTACACCAAAAGGTATGGTTAAGATTGTGATCCTTTGGTTGATTCACCACTTTAACCTAGTAGTTTTATTGATAAATGACACCAAAGAGGAATGATTATGATCGCAATTTTTTGGTCAATTCACCACAAGAATGGCATCATTAAATTACAATCACAGCTAAAAACCTGTAAATTTTATAATGGCCAATTCATCTAAGTGATGAATTATAAAGTGCAAGCAACAAGGCATAAAATCTCCATCAGCTAAAGTTAACTAAAAATAATCTCCTTAGACAAGCATATATTCTAGGTCTTTAATTTTTCCTTGGATAATATAGCCCATAGCTTCTGACAAAGATGTATTAGTCAAGCTGGGTCAAATTTCTCCTCTAACTTAGTAATCAGAATCCAAGACAACTCGAGACTACAAATCTATGGGTTTTTAATCGAGTTTGCTGATATTCGCCCACTATCCACTCTAAAGCTAAATGGCAATAAGTTTCATATACCCCAAATTGAAATCGTTGTCCCTATAAGCTATGCATTTAGCACCTTAGACTAAGCCTCAATTGAAAGTTTTCTCTAATCATCAAGATGTTCAATTAACACTAATGGCATATGCCTATAAGAAATCTAACATTAGATCACAAGTCCTTACAAAACAAATGCAACATCTCTTAGTATATCTTATCTTAAATCCAAAACATCTTTTGAAATTCTGACCCAAAATCACAAATCTCTTAGAAGAGCCAGGCACAAATTTCCAAAGTTCATAATTTGTAGCATTAACAACAGGGAATATAATAATTTCTAGCATTAACAACAAGGAACATAACTATCATATTGTAGAGCTTTTAAGACCCTTGTAATTTCACCCATTTAAATAATGAAGATGGACTCTAACCAAGCTTATGTCATAATGATAATTTAACAAAACATTTTACATACCGAATAAATTGAAACTAGTCGCATTAACCTTTAGTGATTACAAAACCTTCTAAGCAAACATACAATATTAAAATACTCAAGGAGCATGAACAAGTATTAACTCTTGTACTATTGACTAAAACATTCTCGTTAAACCGAGACTCTTATCAATTGAAGAATCACCTAAGAATTACCAAGTATATATTCAACAAGGAATTACCAAGTAAATATTCAGCAAGAATTTAATAATTCTACCAAACCTTAAAATAATATCACACAAAAGAAACTTACAATTAAGAGGGCTTTGACTTTAATCCAGGTTTTGATATGCGTTTCAGAACCTGTAAACCCTTTTTCATCTCCCTACAAAGGAAAGAAGGTATTATGCATCACTCCGAACTTTCAAGCATTAAATTGTAATAATGATAAATGATACGAACCTTTGTTGTAAGTAAACCAGAGTATAGAATAAAGGTAACAACATCACAACTAAAATGCAAACAGCTAGATAAAATACGCTTGACTCCTTCTGCACAGACAATAAAATCTGTAAGCTAACAAATATGAGCCTTTTCTTCTTTATAAAACCTTTAGTTATTCTAATCATTAAACAAGCTCATGCCCTCTATCATAGGGAAAAGATGAATTAGTCACAATATATAAAATGTAAATTTAACAACAAAATTGATCTCAAAAGAACATAATTTCAAGCAGCCTTGAGCTATCACAATATTTCGGGATATAAAAGAACTAAGTGCCGAGCAAATAGTTGTATCTTCAAGAAAAAAAAATGTATAATGCTTACAGAAGTGGAAAAATGTTATTTTTACCTTGCCCCCTCTAGAAAATGGCTTTTTTCCTCCAGTGCATGTGTGAGCATCACAAAATTGACGTAAGAAAAATTCTGCAAAGAAAAATTATCAAAAAGTAAGTGCCAGTAGCTAAAGAATTTTAAGATAAGCTTTACAAAATAAAATACCATGAAGACGACTTGCTGATTGACCATTATTTAGAGGGAAACAACTATCTGAGAGACTCTGCAATAAAGACCATCAAGCAGACATTTAATCAAAGGAATTACATGAAAATAGGCAAGCTTATATTAATTGCTTGAACAAATGGGCTCTCTTTGATTATCAAAACTAAAATAAATCAGTATAAACTGTTCACGCAGTGTTCTGTTGACAGATTTTTATTTGGTAAATGGAATGGGCATGTATCAAAGCATTTCCCTTAAATCTGTACTTGAATAAGTGAATTAAACCTAATTTATTGCTATCTTTGGCCAAATCTGGGCTAAATGAATGAGTTAGATGACCTTGAAGTGCGAGATCGGTGGCTACTCATGCGTGACAGAGGTATCAATGATGGATTAAAGGAGAGGAGAGAGAGCAACAAGAGAAAGATGATAAATTGTGAGGTAGGCGATCTAGAGAGGCAAAAAGGGCGAATAGAGATGGGCGGGATTGACAGAGGGAGCAATAAAAGAGGAGCGAGAGAATGTGGGTGATGATCGAGAATCTAGAGAGGGAGAGAGGCCGAGAGGGAGACATAACGCTTCAAACGAACCGAGCCGAGCCGAACAGGAGCCTTTTTAAACTCGAACTGGTTTACTTTTAAACTATTTAGCTCAATTCAAACTTTTGGGACATTGTTCAAGATCGGTTCATTGAAATTCCTTATTGAATCAAGCTTGATTTGAGCTCGGCTCTAGTTTGGTTTTATCGAGCAAGCAACTCAATTAAGCTTAATCGAGCTGCAACTCGTTTAGTATAGTCAAGCCCACACTTATTAATTGTTAATGTAGATAAATAATAATTTGTGAACCTGAATAAATCAAATTAACCTAACAAATTTAAAATTAAAAATTTAACTTTACACATATAGCTTAAAGCATTCAACCCTAGCTGTTTTGTCATTCCATTTACACAAAGGTTATACTTGTCCTCTTCCCAATGTGGGACTAAAAGACTAAAGGAAACACTTCAGATTTAATGCCGAATGAGTTATTTTTTATCGGGCATTTGCATGCTTACCACCCAATTCTTATGTATTTAAATATCTAACACCAAAATTTTCATTTGCTGCATTTAAACCATCCAAATCTCGGATACCACATAGAAAATACCATCATCTTAACTTTTAAAAAGTGAAATACAATTTTCATGCTAAAGTGGTATCCATGTAAAATTGAAGTTTTGGTGTTAGATAGGTAAATACATAGGATTTAAGTATTATGTATGTAAATCTTCCTTTTTTATATATTTCTTCAAAAGTTTTTTTTTAGTTAATAAAAATAATATGAAAAAATCATAGAACATTAAAATAAGTTTAAATTAGCTTTTTCTTATAATTAATTTAAATTAAATAATACTTTTTATTATAACTTAATTTGTGTTTCAGCAAGCCAGTATCGAACTTTAGGGTATGTTCGAGACAGCTTTCTGCCTACTTTGTATTTCATGCTACCACCATAGCGCTAACCTGTTAAAATGCGGCGACTGTAAGAAAATTGTCAAATTTTTTAAAAATAAAAACATATATTTATAATTCTCACCACAGTATTCTAAGAAGTTTTCTCCAGCACAGCTTTACGACAACCTTTTTAAGAAGTTACAGTTATGATTATAATCAAGCAGAGTGAAGCCAAGTATATGGTAGATTGGACTTGGCTTGGTAATATTACAGATTTTTCATGTTCAAATTGAGTTTAACTCGAGCTTTCACATGATGTTCAGAATTGACTTGTTTAAATTTTTCAATACTTGAACTTGATTTGTTTATGCCAAGTGAATGAGTATTCAATAAGTTAAAAATTTGAATAGCTATTTGAGTTCTCATATAATGTTTTCAATAAATGATTTTAGAAATCTAAATAAATAGGCAATGAAATAAATTCTAAATTAATATCTAATTATTTTATACAATTTAAATAAGAATATATGTTGCAAGTTTTTTTTGCAATCAAATAATATTAAAGATTGTACGGCAAAGACTTCAGGCATGAGATAGAAGATGGTTGGGGCAAAATGGCAGAGAGGAAGTGAGGTTTGCAAGTTAATTTTAAAAAAAAAATAGCTTCAAAATCTTAAGATTTGAGATATTCATGAAGAAGTTAATACTATGTGAGATAAAGTAATGAGTATTATTAAACAAGTTGCAAAAAAAGTGCTTGAACAATAAAAAAGAAGAGCTCTTACGAATAAAAATAGTTAGTTCAAGAAAATATAAAAAATAAAAAATTTATCAAAAAAACTTATTTAAATGTAAAAGCTTGGAGAATTAGAAAAAAAAAGGTGACCCGTATGAAGTCTAAGAGAATAATTTATGAAGATAAAAATTTTCTTGTTAATGATCTTGATAGTAAATTAGATACTAAAGGTGTGAAAAATGTATCTATAAACTAGTCACAAAAAAAAACAAGAAAAGTAATGATTTAATTCAAGTGAATTAATGATGAAAATCAAAAAAATACTTTTTTTTATATGAGGATATTTAACATATGTGGTGGGATATTTTGATAAACTTGTGAAAATACAATCAATTTTAATTATCTTAATGTCAAATATAATAACAATTTTTTTTTTCTCACTGTCGCATTAGAGAAACGAAAATTGAGGAGACTTTCGAAAAGATGAGTATGAAAAAACAATAGGATCTGATAGTATTCTAATAAAAATGTGATAATGTTTAGGAGTCTGAGAATTTTTTGGCTTAGCAAAATTTTTAATATTATTTTAAAAACTAAAGAAATGTCTAATGAGTGGAGAAAGAGTCTTGGTTCATATTTTTAAGAATAAAGGGGATACACAAAATTATGTAAATTATAAACGAATTAAGTTATTGTGTCATACATTAAAGGTATGGAAGAAAATAATTGAACATAATTTACAATGTGATATAAAAATTTCTCAAATTAAGTTTGGATTCATGTCAGGCAAGTCTACTGTGGATGTTATGCATTTATTGAGAAATTAGAATAAAAAAGTATAAGAAGGATCTACATATGATTTTCATTGAATTTAGAAAAACTATGATAAAGTTCAAAGAGAAGTACTTTGGACAATTTTTTAAAAAAATTTATTGATATTGTTTATATTCAAGTAATTAAAAATATGTATACTAGAGTTGTTGTGTTTGAACAAAAAAAGGATTGACCAAGTATTTTTCTATATCAATTGGATTATATCATGGATAAGTTTTAAGCCCAAATATTTTTGCTTTAGTTATGTGTGTGTCAATAAACTTTTTTTATTTTGAAATTTAATTTAAATATATGAGGTATATAATTTAAGTTTTGAAAGTAGTGTTTTAATTTTTTTAAAAAAATAAGACCAAATGGATCTCATTTGTCTAATAGTTTGCATGATCGTGTCCAATAACACGAGTACTACACCCTCCCGAGAGATAAATGTATACATCGGCGATAAACTCAATTCTGCAAACTAAGAGATTTGTGGCATCTGTTTGGTATGTGTGACCGACAAATTCTCCTATTTACTATAAATATTAAATAGAGTTTATTTTACCTGGGTTTCAAGTTCCCTATAAAAGCAAACCCCTATAGTTAATTTTATCACAAATGACTGAAGTCACTTGAGAAAACCCTCGATAATGATCAGAGGTACTAGTCTTCAAGAATTTGAGATTTAGGTTTTTACGGTATGACGTGAAAAGGCAAGTGGGAGTGACTTAAATAGAAACAGTTATTTTTCAGGAGTTCAAAGGAAGGAAGAGGCAAGGGATGACAGATTCTAAGGAGAAAACCTCAGTGAATTACTAAATTATCTTAATATGTGGCTGAGTTTTAGTTACGATATTATTTAGGTGTTTAATCCTGTCAATTTTATTGTTTGGGACTTACATTTGCATAATATTTGATTATGCAAATAGCCCACAGAGATCAAAGGGTTTACGTCGTGTCACACGACAACCTCGGAACCTAGGGCGAGTTAGGACTTACGTAGCACAACATGATTGTACAGAAGCCTAAAGAGGGTGTGAGGATTTACGTCGCGTTGGGCGAACTACCTCGAATTCCTATGGGTTGTTATCTAGACTGGGAAAGAGATTACTGAAAAAGATCCTCTTGCTGCTCTGTCTGAGTTCCTCGTCATGCTGCCCACGAATTTAGCTTCGAACCTTCTGTCGTCGCGATAGCTCCAGGGTTTAAGTGCTTGAGATTGGTGGTTTATGTTTCACAGTTTTGGTGTCAATATTTGGTTTTGTTTTATTTCGATTTTAGTTTTGCATGAATAATAAGCAAATTGCAAGTAAATAAAAGATACTTGAAAAGTAAAATGCAGCAAAGTAAAAAAATTGTAGAAAAACTGTAAAAGCGTACCCGGGCATCTGCTAATGTCGCGCGATTAATATGACGAGCATAGCATACTTTGCAGCAGTTTTAACTAAGCTTGTAAGAAAAATAAATAAGACGAGAAAACCCAGCACGAAAGTAAAAAAAAACGAGTCGTAGAAATCACAAGTAAAAGAAACCCTTGGCCACATATGAAAGACCAGGACTGGGTGTATGACATTGGCAGAAATGGGGGCTCAGAGCTGGACTGTGTGTTTCCCAGTCTTGAACAAGAGTTACCATCCCGACAATCTACGGAGGGCAGTCCTTAACCTCAATCCAAGTGATTAGTCGTGGACCTTTATAAATTTTTATAGAAAAATTCTTTGATTTTCATGCAAAAGTTGTTGTTTAAGTTTTTTCTATGCAGAGTTCTTTTTATCATGCAAAAGAGATTTTTGTTTTATTTTGTAAATTATTTATAAAATCATGTAGTCCACAGGCTAGTCACTCTAATCGCACTAGAACTACTGACAACCTAAGAACGTCGGGGGAAACAATCCCACCAAGAGTCGGCAAAAAGTATCATCGGTACTTTCCTATTTCTTATTAAATTTGAGGTAGGTAATACTATTCTAATAATCTCACTTTGTATCCCTCGTTTAAGCACACATAAGCAATGTCGTCATTGCTCTCGCCACCTAGCATGGTACAAATGTCCCCAATTGCTATGAGGATTTG